GAGAGGAGGACATTATCCTCAGTGCCCACTGCACACAAGCTTATCCGTCTCCAAACCCACGCTGTTCCTTCACATCCTATTGCCACCTCCATTGCCACCTCCAATGTTCAGAAGATGTCACCACTTGCCTTACAAATAGCGAGCTGAATCACCAGTTCACACGGATGAGAAGTAACAAAAACAAGAGAAAAATCTTCAACCTAGAGCAATCTGGACAGCAGACGCAAACTATGCTCTGAGCAGAGAGCCGACATACTACTGAAAACAATTCCAATATGGGACCTAACTACATCTGCACCAATCCAAAAGCGGTGTCTTCCTCTTGCTCATCAACTGATTCAGGGTCAGAAATGTATTTAAAAAATTGCCCTTGGAAAAAAAAAAAACTGCCCTTGTAACCTCATACTGTTACTAAAGCAATGTAAAAAGCTTTGCACGTCTTTAAAACTGCATCTTCATGAAGTAACAAAAGTAAAAGGTATGCAGCAAAGACTCAGCCCATAAATTTGGAAAGTCAAATCCAACTTCCAGTTTCACCCAAATTAACCTTATATGCCACCCAAACAGCCAAGCCTTTTCCCCTCTTTTCACTGGGTTTTGACTCGGAAACGGACCTCAAGCCATGTAACAGGATTCCCTCCACCAGGGAGCAGACTGCTCCTACATGTGTTTCAATCAGCTTATTAAATACCAACTGCTGGAAATCTCAGAAATCATCCTTTTTTTCTTTTCCCTTCCTATTGTGTCAATAGTTACGTTACCAAGGTACAGGTGAGCGCTGTGCTCAGACACAGTCACTTCACTGTTTGCGCTGAATTATTTTCTTCTAACTGCTTAAGGTGGGTCACAATCAGCTGCTCTGGTCCTAGAAGATATGGTCCACAGGGACCAAAATTAGGTTCCCTGGAATATGGTTTGACCTGAAGCTACCTACAGAGGTTTGGTAATAGTGTCATTAGCGATTTTCACCACAGAGGCTATTTATTGTAACTGGATCTGGCCTACACGATAGGACGGTTCTAGGGACCTGACAACCACAAAAACGTAACATAAGTGAACAAGTAAGGCAACCCTGAGACCCCCAATTTTCTCCCATCAGGGAAGGGAAAAGATCAAAGAGAAAGGAGTGGAGATGGAGGCCTTATTCAACGACAAGCCCGATAGGAAACTCTCCACATTCAACCGGACGGGAACATCCAAACTCAGAATCAACATCCATCTCTAACTTGCCAGTCTTCTACAGGTGCAGAACAATGTTCCCTTGGGATCAGCCTTCCTGGCTGAGGAGAAGTCATAGTGATGGTTTTCTAAAACAGCTAGCTGTACTTTCAAAAAATTCTGGCTTGTCAAGACTCACAAACTTAAACCTTCGGAGCAAATTGAAACCTTATCTGGGAGACAGTTGCAGAAGGTGAATTAGAAAGCCCTTTTGGGGAATCATTTTTTTTTCTTCTGAACAGCAAATTTGAGAGGAGTTTAAAAAAAATAAAGGAGTTTATGACCAGAATAACCATGTTTCCATGGTCACAGATGATTTTTGTTTCTACTGGGAGATTTTTTATTTGGTTTCAGATTAAACTTCTCCCCCAGAGAATATAAAAACTTTAAAGATTACAAATGTGTAAGAGCTGCTGTTAAATCAGAGATTCTGAGTGACACCCTTTTCTTTTCTTTTTTGCAACATCCATTAATTTGAATTTTTAACATTGGTACATCAGTTTGGGGGGAAAAGGTAGTACTGTGACATTTCAAAAACGAAGACTACTGAGATACAGTTTGACATAATGACTGGGGCTTCTTGGATTTGATAGGATTCTTTGAGAAGGAAAAAAATAACAAACCCTTGTGTTGATGTGCCTGAGCATTTCACAGTGTTTGAGGAGATATTTTAACATTAATGAATGCTAAAAAATTTCACTTGAAAAAGAAATCCAATTTCCTTCACATTTCATTTTAAAAGTAAAATTTTAAAAAAAGCATCCTTCGACACTTGAGTAGCCCTTGATGCTTGGTGGGGTCATCTATTAGAATCCAGTTTCTGCTCTTGACTCCTGGAGGAGGAATTTCACAAATGGGAAGCTTCAAATAAATGCTCATTTTCAGCTGACCCTGTGCACTAGAAAGTGTGTTCAGTTTGTGCTTCAGACATTTTTTTGCAGGAATACAGGACTGTGTGGACATTTCTTCCTCCCACAAAGGATTTTACATACCTAAGATTGTCACGGCACTTAAGTTGTGAACATACCGAGAGAAAGAACAAAACAAGTGGCCCACTGAATTGCTGTTTACGTGTTTCCTTATCTAAACGTCAGTGAATTTTTTTTCTCCTAAGAACGGAAAAAAGGAAACAGGATCTTTGGGAGGGGAAGAGGGCTGTGTGTTAAAGTTTTCTCTAACAGAGTAATATGTCAGGGACCAAAAGTGGGCAAGAGGGAAAATGGAACTTCACCGTGTTTTGTCTTTTAACAGAACTTATGCTTGTAAAACATATCAGAAAAAGTGTTTGGTTATGCAAGTCATTTCTGTTGCTTTTTCCTTGTACATGTAGCAGAGAGGGGACTGGGGGCTGGAGGAAGTGTTCTCTCCACCATGGCTGGGCGTGTAACACGTTTGCATCAACTTTTCACGGTCAGGCATGTGCTTTCGAACAAAGGAACAGTGGAGATGGGGAGAGGAGACTGAGGCTTGACACACTTTACAGATTTGGTGCTTAAACAGTACTTTACAAATGACTTGCTTAATTTAAACGTCCATCACCATAAGAGACATTGAAGGTAAATGAGAAAATAGGATCTACTTGAACCACAATCTTTTGGGTTGGTGGGGAAAAGGGGAGAGAGAACATTAACTTGAACACAAGTATCATAAGCCAAATTCAGTAACTTTGTCTCCTACAAAGGATGTGAAGTATTCACTTTCTTCAAAGATGAAGGCTGGAGACAAAGCAATGGACTGAAATGGCAAGACGGAGATCAAGGGCTTGGAAACATATGGGCCTCTTAGGTAGGTTTTTGACATGTTACAGTAATGCACCTTTTTTTTTTTTTTTTTTGAGAAAACTGTGTACATCAAATTTAAAAAACTAAACATCGAAAAGGATGTGCAAGTCTAAAAGGGCTCAACAGGGTTAGAATCCCGATTTGAACATATAAATTCACTCACTCAAGCATCACTTTGGTCTAAAGGCGAGGAGGAAGGCAGGCAGGAAAGGGACAAAAAGAGGGAGATAATTGAATTACTCAATAAAAGAGCTACTTACCAGCCCAACCCATAGTAAGACATACACTTCTGACATAAGAGAACTCCTTAGAGGTCGAATAAAGCGTGTAAGCACCTTTGAGTAAAGCACCTGCCCCAAGAGGGGGCCCGGAAGCCCAACATGGGCTTAGCGAACAGACCTTTGCTAATCTGTTTATTTCCTTGAACTGGAGTCAGGCTGCGATGGGCTGCGATTCCCAGGCGATACATTTAATTAGAACAAAACAGAACAAAACAAAAAAAAATTTGTAAAAAGCTCACCAAACTGCTGCACTTGTGTCTCTGAATGTGGGTGGCATTTCTTTTAAAAGGCAATGTATGGTCTGTGAAGGAGAAAGGGAAAACGGGAGGTGGGAGTGGGGAGAAGGGGCCGTGGTGCCTGGCGGGGGAAGCCCTAGCTAAGACCCCAGTCTACGGGAGGGTCCTCTGCGACTCCCCAGCCCCGGGCAGCGACCGGGCAGCCATCTGTCCAGCGCCCTCTCTTCCTCTCCCCACCCCCACTCCCTCCAAGACTCTCTCCAGCCGGCTGAAACCTTGCTAACATTTCCAAATCCACTCTCTAGCCACCTCTTCCCCTGCCTACCAAGGAAGAGTGGGCGAACCCTGCACCCAAACCTTCTGCTGGCGTAGGGGAAATGGGGCCCCAACCTCGCGCTGAAACGCGCCGGGCTGGCCCCTTTATCACCCTCCAGAGAAGGGCATGGGGCGAGCCCATTTCGCACTTAATACAGGGGAGGGGGGCGCTCCCTTTCACCACTTGCCAAAGCACAAGGAAACCTCGGTTTTTTTTTCCTCCCGGAAGGGATGGCGCCCCATGATAACCTGAAAAGGGAGGGAACCCCACGAGAAAGAGGGGACCAACTTCCTCTCCAAGGAAGGGAAACCAAACCTCAACAGCTTACCCCCCCCACCCCGCGCGCCAATAAACGCCATCATCACCTACCTACGAAAAGCAGGACCCCTCCCTTTAAGAAATAGCTTGGGGAAGGGTCTTCGCCCCCAAAAGAGGCAGGGGCTTCCAAAGGGGCTAGAGATCACCCCCCCCGCAATTTTTGCCCCCTAGGGAATAGCTAGGCAACAACTCCCGCCAAAAAGTGTAAAAGAGCCCCAACCGAAAGGACCCCCCCATTAGGATGGAGAAAGAAATGAACGAACCCCCACTTTCTGTCTCCCACGAAAGCTAGGGTACCTCTCCAAGTAGGGCAGGGCACACCTCCCCCAGGAGAAAGGATACTGCCGGGGGCTGGGAGACCCCGCCAACTCCCTAAGAGCGGGGCTGTTGCTCCAGATCCCCCCCAAAGGGTCCGGGAGCCCCTCCCCCATTCCCTTCCCCGAAGCCAGGCGACAGGCAGGCGGGCCCGTGGCTGCCAGCTCCGGGCGCAGGGGCAGCCAGGACCCCCGTGGGCTTCCGAAGCCCCCCCCCGGCGCCCCCTCCCCAGGGCGGGCGCAGGGGGTCCGGGGGGCGCCTCCTCACCTTCCCCTCAGCATGGCGCCCAAAAAAGACAGAGCGAGAGCGAGGGAGAGCGGGCGAGCGCCGCGAGGGGGGGGAAACGCATGAGGCCAGGAGAGAAAGCAAGCGAGAAAGAGCGAGCGAGCGAGAGACACCCACCGACCCCGCCCTTCCTCCTCCTCCTCCTCCTCCTCCGCGGCCCGGCCCAACATGGCCGCCGCCCCCCTTCCTCCTCCTCCTCCTCCTCTACCTCCCCCCGGGGACGCCGCCCCGGCCGGGCCGGGGGCCTGACCTGTCGTCAGGGAGCGGGAGGCGGTGGAGGAGGTGCGGGGTAGCCAGGCAGGCGTCGGGGGAACACAGAGGAGGCGAAGGCGTTGATGGCGGTGGTGGCGATGGCGGCGGCGGCGACTCTGATGGCGGCAGCGGGGGGGTCCCGGGCGCGGCCTCCATAGTTCCTTTGGGGGGGGGAGGGGATGTTAATGCACGAAAAAGGACTGCTTGGGCGTAGCGGGAGGGGCACACTTCAGCTCTTGAGGGATCCTGATCGGAATGAGTATATATTTTTTCAATTTCGGAATCACCTCTGCGCCGACCTCCGCGTAGGCCGCGCGGCCTAGGCCTCCGCGGGCCGCTCGCCGCCTGCTTACTCCGCAGCCCGCCCCGGGGTCACTCGCTCACGGGCGCGGGGCCCTCATCGGGGCGAGAGGCGCCCCCGACACACACACACACGCACCCCCGCGGGCCCGGGGGTGGGAGACCCGAGGGACACGGACACTGGTGGGTGGTTCGGTGTAATTAGCGCGGGCCGCGCGTGATGGAGCAAGCGAGGGGAAAGGGGAGAAGAGGAGAGCGAGCGAGGGCGGTTAAGAAAAAGGGGAGATTTTAAGGAGAGGAAACGGGCCGCGGAGACGGGCCGACTGTCTTGTCAGCCCGCCTAGGTGCCCAGCTGCCCGGCCCCCGCCGCTGTCAGAAATTCACACAAAATGGCGGCCCGGCCTGGACGAGCCAGGAGGCTGAGGCGGGAGGAAAGACGAGGTGGGAGGGGGAACTGGGAGGCGGAGGCCGTGTCACGTGGAAGAGAGAGGCAGCGACAGCTCTTCCGATGAGCGGCGGAAAGAGCCGAAGGGACAGAGAGAGGCCGAGGCAAGGCGGAAAAAGCCGGAAGGGGCTGAGCTGAAGTTCGCGAGAGGCGGGAAGAGCCGAAGTTCCCGATGGGGGTGGGGCTAGGGAAAGAATGGGAAGCCCCTCGGTACCGGAAATAGCCGAAGCGAATCGGGACTGGGAAATAACAAGAAACGGAGGTGATCCGGAAAGAACCGAAGGCAGTGTCGAGGGTGAGTGGCAGGAGGCGGAAAGAGCCGAGTGATGCCAGGCGGCGGTAATAGGGTTTAGACCGAAAAAGCTCCAGTGTGGGGCTGGTGAAGCGATTAATGACGAGAGTAAAGACTTTGAGGAATTCGCCCGAGAGCAAGCGAGAAGAACCTAAAATTGCTAGGTTTAGGGGAGGCGGGAAGAGTCGAAAGCCTTAGGTGGGGGAATGGGAGAGAAGGAATTCGGGATACGGAGAGAAAATAATAACCGAAAGCTGGAGATCGGGTGCCTGGGGTTGTAGGTTTCCGGATGATGAAGCTGAACAGGCCCGGAGATGACGTCATTAGAGACCTCTGTCGCTCTTGTTATTCTTGGGCGGTGCGGGAGGGCGGGTCTTAGTCATTCTTAGGGAGAGTTTAAGAACCTTGAGCTTAGTAGGTAGAAGATCTCAAAAGCTAGACTTGGGAACGCTGACCGGGTTCGAACAGTATAAAAACGTAAACTCTTGACCCGCACAACTCTTAAAAGGGGAACTAACATTTCGCTCGTTTGATGGATGTAGACTGAACCTCACTATCTAGCTAATTGGCTCATGGTTCTAGGATTCGCCGTAGGGAGCATAGCAAATTTTTAATCACAGCTGTCATTCCATTGCTCCCCTGCAAAAATTCTGTTCAGTGCTATTTACAAGAGAGGATCTTCGTTTTATGCTTTTATGAGCACCTTGTACAGGTCGAAGTCCTGTGATGGGCGAATGGAACATTGTTTCTTCTTAATAGAGCTTAGAAACCGACAATGCCCCAGGGGAAAGAAACTGGAAGTTAAAGAGTAAATGGAAAAAAAAAGAGTAAATGAAGACTCTTATTATATTGGGGAACAAGGTTGTTTGAACTGAGACAAGAAGAGATAATTCCAGGCAGAGGAAATAGATTCTGTCAGAATCTGACAAAGCAAGGACCAGTTAGAGTCCAAGAGCAGAAAAAAGCATTGTGGCATAAGAAAGAATCTGGAGACAGAGGCTGCCAGATCGCCTGCTATATTAATCTTACTATAAAATTTAAAAATATTCCAAACCAGGTCTGGGACACAAGATCTTCATGAGGGTAATTTGCAGCCTCCTTCAGGGGAGAAGTTAGCATTCCCGATAAAGTGACAGGATTAAGCCGTTTTCTATTGAGTTTTTTTAGAATGAAACTTCTGGGAAATCAGTGGCCCACCCAGTTAAAAGTCGGCTGACTGCCAGCCAAGAATCTGCTGACCTTTAACCAGATCATCTTTTCTTCCTGGATCTAATCTGTAGTCTAAGAACGCTACTTAACAATTCTCTTCTATAAAAAATGCTCTTACAAGAGAAAATGTTTCAGTTGGGCCTCAAGAGAACTTTTTCCCTTGCATGCATGATTGTAATAAAATATTGGCACGTGCTCATGACCGACCAAGTTGTCCAAAAAATTTTAACACATGGAGAGTTAGAGCAGGACTGTGAGAATGGAAAGGAAAAATACAGAAGTGGGTCTTTATGAAGCCATGTAACTCAGATTCAAACTTGTACCCATGGTCTTTTAACTGAGATCGCTCACCTGGCCTCAGAACTTGATAAAGCTCATGTTCTTGATGTCTCATTGCAGAAGGAATTCAGTGAGAGAAAAAGGGATAGGAAAAAGTGGATTTCGATAGAGAGAAACACACTCCACAGAGTGTGGGCCATCTCAGAAGGTGAGACCAGCACCACAGTAGGGAGTTGTCAGTTTTTACAGGGGTGGATAATTTCATAGGCTAATGAATGAGAGGAGTATTCCTACTGTTTTAGGGAAGGTGCCCACTTTTTTCTTTATTTTGGTTTTGTTTTCTATTTTTGGGCTGTGCTGAGAAGCATGTGGGAGTTTAGGTCCCTGACCAGGGATCAAATCTGGGCCCCCTACGGTGGAAACAAGGTCTTAACCATTGGACCACCAGGGAAATCCCAAGATTCCCACTTTTTAACTTTTATCGTCAGCTTTGGAACTGTCATAGCACCTGTGGGTGTGTCACTTAGCTTACTGGTGTGTTACAATGGGGCTTCCCATGTGGCACTAGCAGTAAAGAACCTGCCTGCCAATGCAGGAGACATCAGAGACGTGGGTTCAATCCCTGGGTCGGGAAGATCCCCTGGAGAAGGGAATGGCAAGCCACTCCAGTATTCTTGCCTGGAGAAGCCCATGGACAGAGGAGCCTGGTGGGCTACAGTCCATAGGATTGCAAAAAGTCGGACATGGCTGGAGCAACTTAGTACACGCACGCGGTTGAAGTTCATTCATTCTCATTCCTGTGTAGTATTGTGGTATGTGATTAAACCAGGTATTGGTGCAAATGTGGAGCCATAGGAACTGCTGGTAGGACTGTAAATTGTCTAACCATCTATATTGTGATTTATATCAAGAAATACATGTCTGGTCTTTATCCTAGTACTTTGCACTGAGCTCCTAAAACCCTAGGAATGTCCAAAGTGATAAGAGCTATGGATAAAGGTATCTGTCGTATTCATATAAGCCCCTTTCAAACACACCTTAGTTTATGTTAATGAAGTGACTTTTGGAAAGCAGCCAAGCTAGTTGTCAGGGGAGTCAATCAGGAAATTGCACTTTTTACTCCCACTCCCCAATCCCTAGAAGAAGGGAGAGGGGCTGGAGATTAACTTAATCACCAGTGGCCAATGAGTTAACCAATTATACCTACATAGTGGGGCTTCCCAAGTGGCTCAGTGGTAAAGAACTCACCTGCTAATGCAGGAGACTCGGGTTCCATCCCCAGGTAGGGAAGATACCCTGGAGTAGGAAACAGCACCCTACTCCAGTATTCTTGCCTAGAAAAATTCCATGGACAGAGGAGCATGGTGGGCCACAGTCCATGGGGTTGCAAAGAGTCAGACACAACTTAGGAACTGAGCACAGGGAAACACACACATGTTCACTTCTACATAGTGACACCTTCCTAAAAATTCCTAACCTGTGGGGTTTGGAAGAGCATGGCAAAGGATGAGATAGTTAAATAGCATCACCAACTCAATGGACTTGAGTTTGAGCAAACTCCAGGAGATAGTAGAGGACAGAGAAGCCTCTTTCTAGTAAGTAGAAACACAGGTATTCCCCTTGAGGCACTTTGAAAACTAACCCGGCAGTTATCAAATACTGGCTAGTTGATTTGGTGTAGGAACGTACTCCTACACCAAAATACAGCAATTCTAACCCCTGAGTTAAAATTCATGTTTTATCGCAAGATAAGAAAAATTTAAACCTATTTTTTTTCTCTCCCCTGTACTGTGCTTTGTTAACTGCATTAGACGTTGACCAAACCTCCCACCCCGGTCCACAGAAAGACCTGCTCAACCATAAAGAGAAACATTCTCTGAGCATCAACAAGACAACTCCTTAAAAGATAACATCTTGATTTTGTAAGGGACCATGTGACCCACCCCTCTGGACCCCAGAGCTGAATTGTGCAAATTGTGAAGAGGGAAATTTCCCACTCCTTTATGGCATCACCAACTCAATGGACATGAGTTAGAGCATACTCCAGGGGACAGTGAAGGACGAGGAAGCCTGGCGTGCGGCAGTCCATGGGGTTGCAAAGAGTCAGACACGACTGAGCAACTGAACAACACACTGTATCTTGGAGCATCTAGAGAACCTCCTCTTGCATGGGGCCCAGAAGCCCTAGAGTTTCCTTTGATGATGTCTCGCAACCATGATACAAATTGCCGTCAAAACTCCTAGAGGGCCTCCAAACATTTTGGCTCTCTGGTAGTAGGGGTGGGGGGAAATACAAGTTTTAGCAACTTTCCCTTTTTGGGGGGACGAAAAAAAAGAATCCATTCCAACATATCTCTTCTTCTGGACCTCCAAAACATCTTTGAGCTGGCAGGTGCCTGTATTTTTCTGAGACAGAACCTTCTATACTGCGCATAAATCTGCAACCAATGAAACCATAGCACCTGTTTCATTGTCCATTTGGTGTTGGTGGTTTAGTCGCTCAGTGGTGTGTGATTCTTTGCAACCCCAGAGACTGCATCCCACCAGGCTCCTCTGTCCATGGGGTTTCCCAGGCAAGAATACTGGAGTGGGTTGCCATTTCCTTCTCCAAGACATCTTCCTGACCCAGGGCTTGAACTGGGTCTCCTGCATTGCAGGTGGATTCATCACTGACTGAGCCACCAGGTACTCTTGGAACATCGTAATTCTGGAAAAGGATGTGATTTTTCTAGTTCCTGTGATGGCTTTAGGGTGGGTTCTTTGTGCTACAGGTGAGTAGTCCTTTGGGGAGAAGGCATCATAGAGTGTGGACGCAATGCCAGCTTCAACCTCTGGAAACCCAGGGGAAGAAAGGAGACCATTGTTCAAAGAGAGGTGTATTGGATCCTACTGACTGCCAACCCAATCATTATTCCCACATTCTTTCTCGCTAATCCAATCTTGGATTTATTGGGAAGGTTGGAGGTAAAGAAGTTCAGTTTATGAAGTGATCCTGTGTGTAACTAGTCCTTAAGGAGATGATGCCCTCTCTGAGGCCGAGATTGTAGCAGCCCCTTGCCTTCCAGCTCTGGCTGTCCAAGCCTGCCTCTCTGCCTCCAGGCAGGGAGGGGCCTGTATGCCCTTATGGCAGAAAGTGAAGAAGAGCTAAAGAGCCTATTGATGAAAGTGAAAGATGAGAATGAAAAAGTTGGCTTAAAACTCAACATTCAGAAAACTAAGATCATGGCATCTGGTCCCATCACTTCATGGCATGGGTGAGATGGTTGGATGGCATCATCGACACGATGGACATGAGTTTGAGTAAACTCCAGGAGTTGGTGATGGACAGGGAAGCCTGGCTGCAGTCCCTGGGGTCACAGGAGTCATTCCGACTGAGCCACTGAACTGAACTGAAGGAGATGATGTCGCCCCCTAGAGGACATTTTGGAAATTATGTAGGGAAATTGTTTTTGCTTGTCAATTGGTTCTCAAGGGGACAATATTGCTGCCTTGGGGATGTTTTGGAAATTTTCGTGGTCGTTTGAGGCATCACAATAATGAGGGGGCTGTTACCAGATCTCGAAGGTAGGGGTGGGGATGATAGAATGTTCTGCAACATTAGTTTGTGAATAATGGGAATAACTGTTTATGCTAAGTTATATTAAGCTATCATGCTGAACTTTTCCAGTTCTTTAGGAATTTTGTACATAGCAAAGTCATGGTAGACTCTTGGATATAAACGCATACCAACACTTTTGAAATAAGAAGTGTTTTGGAACTCTATAGAGGTGGTGATTGCCAGTGGTGGCTGTACTAAATGTCAATGAATTGGTCGCTTTATTTTTTTAATTTGTATTTTAGATTAAACTATGGCTGATTTTGGAGAAGGAAATGGCAGCCCACTCCAGTACTCTTGCCTAGAGAATTCCGTGGACAAAGGAGCCTGGTGGGCTGCTGTCCATGGGGTCGCAAAGAGTTGGACATGACTGAAGCGACTTAGCATGCATGCATGCATTGGAGAAGAAAATGGCAACCCACTCCAGTATTCTTGCCTAGAAAAATTCCATGGACAGAGGAGCATGGTGGGCCACAGTCCATGGGGTTGCAAAGAGTCAGACACAACTTAGGAACTGAGNAAGCGACTTAGCAGCAGCAGCAGCCTAGCTGACCTACAATGTTGTATTAGTTTCAGATATACAACAAAGTGATTCAGTTTTACATATACACATTTAAAATTTTTTCTCAAATTCTTTTTCCAATTAGGTTATTGCAGAGTATTAAGCAGAATTCCTTGTGCTACATAATAGATCTTTGTTGATTTTCTATTTTAAATATAGTGGTGTATATATGTTCAGTCCCAAACCTTCAATTTATCCCTCCCCCACCAAATTGGTCTCTTTAAAATGGTTAATTTGGGGTATTCCTTGACAGTTCAAAATATTGTGTTATGTGAATTTCATGTAAGTAACATTTCACTCAGGACACTCCCTAACCAAATGCAAATAAGTATATGCCCTGAATCTTTAAGGTCCATTTCAAGATCAATATATTAACAAATCATTCAAAGCCCTGGGTCTGCTTTTACAACTCAAAAGAGTTTCACTTGGACTTTCCTGGTGGTACAGAGGATAAGAGACCTTGCTCATCTCAACTGGAGAAAGTCCACAAGGAGCAATGAAAACATAGTGCAACCAAAAATCAATAAATTTTAAAAAAGAGTTTCATTCCTTTATTTCCCTATGATCCGTGTGTGTGTGCGTTTAGTCACTCAGTTGTGTCTGATTCTTTGCGACCCCATGGCCTGTAGCCCGCCAGGCTCCTCTGTCCATGGGGATTGTCCAGGCAAGAATACTGGGGTGGGTTGCTGTGCCCTCCTCCAGGGGGTCTTCCCTACACAGGGATCGAACCCATTTCTCCCGCATGGCAGGTGGATTCTTTGTTCACTTCAATAACACAAAGCAACTCAGCAAAAGTGTTTATTTCCAAAGGCTTATCCAAAAGATACTTGATATAGTCCTTTGCTGCCCAGTCATTCCGTGACTTCTAAACGTCTTTCCTGCACAGAGGTTATTTGATCCTGTCTTTGGCATTTTCCCCATGGAAGTTATTTGATCCTGTCATTGGTATT